AGCAATGCAGAAACAAAGAACTTATCTCACGAAATCGACATTCAAACCCGATTAAGTTTCTTGAAAGAGAATCTTCCGTTTCCATAAACTATAATATTGACTTTTTTTTCCTTCACAGATCATATCACATGTACCCATTGTAGAAAGAAAGCAAAATCATTAAGTCAATAAAACTTCTGTTTGATGATGCTCTAAATGTCCATTTACATTTATACTCAGAGAAAAATGGAAGAGGGTGAATAAGTTCACAATTGATAAGTTCAAAGCGATACAAAAATAAATGAAAAATATTTAATAGGTGTTTCCTCACAACAAATGTTGTTCATGTGTTACTATATGCTGTAATAAATACATCTAATAATATATACATTTTTAATACATCCTTTACCCTAATTTTTTTCCCAAAGTAATGAATTATGACAAATACTTGTTCAGTAAAAATAATAAAACATACATTTCCATTAAATGGATGATTTGTGTAATACAAAACACATATTTAATTAATATTTTCTGCAAAAACTCATTGAACCAATAAAATTACATCTCATAAGCGAAAGTGGTTTATGTTCAAAAAGAGAAAATAAAAAATAAAAATTTTAAACTCAAAATATAATCAATCTTTGTACAACAGAGTACGTTTATGACTTAACGCGAGAGGATCTGATATTTTATTTTTTTATCAGAGAGGAATTGATATCATAAAAAATAAAATATTGAGTCTGTTATGTGAATAAATGATTTTACCAAATTGGTTAAATTTGATTCGTCTTTATTTATTTTCTTTCGTGTTGAATTGGGCCTATCACCCAATTACTATTTTGCTTTTTGGGGCCTACTTCACTGAATAATTTTGCTATTTACACCGGTCTAGCTTCCCCTCTTGGCATTTCTTTATTAAAAAAAAATCACTTTTAATTCAAATTAGTTTCTGTTGTCTAGTGTTTTTGTTTATCTCACTGTATTGTTAATATATTACCTAAATAATTTAATTTTACGTTTATTTTTTATATACATTTTATAATCAACAGTTGACTAAATTGATAAAAAAAAACAATGCGTGAAAATCTTCAACAAATTGAAATAAGCCAACATTAGAAAAACAATATCAAAAATAAAATAAGACAAACAACTCAACATTATATACAGATCAATACAAATAATTATTGGGTACAAGTCTTCAACCTCTAATAACTATCATGCGATCTAAAATTTTATGAAAATCCTTTTACATAAAACTTATAAAATAGTAATATGAAATAAGTAGTGTGAAGGTTTGATTTTCTTCCAATATCTAGTAAAATATATATAAGAATTTGATTTAATATAATAAATAAGAATAAAAAGTTTTTTAGTTTATCATTAATTTTTATTTTTATCATTAATTTCATCTAGTTCAATTCAGTTTTGTTTTTCTTCTAAAAATTAATATTAATAAGGTACCTTTAATTTTAGGGATTACAATCAAATATGCAATCAATATGACTCTCATGTGTAAATTAACATGGATTTTAATGTTTTTAGTTTGATATGAACGATGTTTAAACTAAATTCATTGGTGATTTTTAATTTTAATGATTAATTTACCTTTTTAACAATGGTAGAGAAATATATATATATATATATATATATACATATATATATATATTATTTATTTATTTTAAACTTAAAATATTATATTTGATATTTTAAAAGTTGAACGAAACTAAACCTCGCACAAATGATAATGAACCAATTCGTACGGATTCCACATCCTGGCTTTGCTTAATCTTGGCCAGGATTCATGAATGCCACTTATTTGAGGATGTGGTGTTTCTTTTTGTCTTTATTGACATGTTCTGTGTCCCAGATCGTTTTATGACGTTACTAGTATCCATTTCCACCAACATATATCTAATCACCATGTTCTCTTGTTCACAGATAGGACGAGTTTGATATCAATAATTCATACAAAAAAGTATGCATGAGGATTGAAAAAAAAGACAAATGTGACACCTCATATTTTTAGAATTTTTTTTAATTAAGAGATACAAATTTTTATATATTTAATTATATGATATTAGTATAAGATTTTAACATATAATTTATATTAATAAATATTTTTTCTTGCTATCTCTCATTGACAGAAAATATTTTATGGAGAAAAATCTTTCACTAAAAAATATTTTAACAACTGGTTAAACATATGTAGAATTAACTTTTATATTACTATAAAAATAAAGATATATCTAGTTCAATTTTATAATTAAATTTTATATTATTTTAAGAACAAATATATTTAACTTAATTTTATTAAATTTATTTTAACAAAATAAAATCTAATTTCATTTATATATTATAATATTATCATATATTTATTTAATATCTTATTTAAGTAAGAATAAAAAATATTCAATTTAAATAAATTATTTTAAATACTATCATTGAATTAAATGCTGTTGCTTTATTGAAAAACATCCTAATTCTTAAATATTTGTGGGTGTATTTCTTTTCAAAATTTACTATGAATTAATCTAAGAAAATAAATACATTTAAAATTGTTAAATGCCCATTGATTAAAAATAATAATGTTTAGTGGGATGGCAAAAAGTGATGTTTTTTGTAATCATTGTATTGATGGGGAAATACTTATGAGATGTCCTTACTTATGTTACAAGCTACTTTACTTTACTATAATGTTATTCGTAATTTGGAAGAAATATTACAAATATGGATTCGTTCAATAATATATAAATTTATATGAATCCGTATTATTTATAAAGAAATTAGGTTAATTTTAATTTAGATAGATAAATGAGGCTAACTTCTGATTAGATAAATAATAAAAATTACATATTATAAGTTGTATTAATATAAAAATTCGAATTATGATAAATTAATAAAGAAAGATACATTGTTGTGTCAATATTAGTTAGGAAATAATAAATATTTTTTTAAATATGATTTTAAGTATATCAATTTCATTAATATCAAATACTACTTGATCAATCTCATAGTGTGTTAACATTCTATATATCCACATAGTAATAAAAAAATTATTATTTCAGCACAATCATAATAACTGCACTTAATAAAGAAAAATAAAAGAGATTTTTTTCCCTCCATATTTTATCATATACTACCTTACCTGTAAGTTAGATTCATGATGTTAACCTAAACTTTGTTATCAATTATTTTATTAATAATATGTTTGGTAACAATAAATAAACAAATAAAAAAAGAAATGAATATAAAGCAAAAATGTTCTTATTTATTTGACATGAAAATAAAAAATATTTGTGTAAAACTAATGATATAATTATTAATCATCTTTTAATAGAATAACTTTTAAAGTAATACATTTAAATTATATATATATATATATATATTAATAGTATATATTTTGATATATAGTTTTTTAAACTATTTAAAATTAAATTTATAAAATAATATCATATTATAAAAAAAATAAAATAAAAATATTAATTTATTATAGTTAATTTATAACATTTTTAAAATAGTAATATATATATATATATATATATATATATATTAAAATTATAAATATCAAAATAAATAATTATTTATTTATAAAATAATATCCTTTTGTATTTTTATTGTATTTCATTCATATTATATAAAAAAACAATGTTTCTTGTAATATTTTTATTTATGATTTTTTTATTATTAAATTAGAGAAATTACTTTTTTTTTACTCCTTTCTTTATATTTATCACTTTTTATTTTAATCAAAATGATTATTATTAAATTAAAAACTCTTGTTGGTAATTATATTGATATAGAAACACAGTTTTAATAATTTCATTTTGATTTGTTTTATCCTACTAATGTAGAAAACAATTGGTGTATCTTAAGAAAACAAAAGTAAAATTATATATATTTTTTAAAATTATTGATATTAAATAAAAAACATTATAATATTTAAAATAAAAAATAAAAATATTTAAAATAGTTTAACAAAATCCAGTTTGCTTTTTAAAATTGATTGTTTTAGGATTAAAATGTTTTTATTTTTATTTTGAAGAACTAATATATAGATAGATAGATATTAAAATTATATTACAAATGTGACCATGTTAATTCACCTGAATATGATAAAACCAAGTGTGTTTGAAAAAATATATATATTTTTTATTTTAATTTTGAACCATTATCCTCCTTTTATGCAAATTGGAACAAAGAGACTAAAGTAGGTGTTTAATTTAACTTGTGCTTGACATACGAACCTTTTTTCTTTTTTTCTAAAAGATGTAACTAAATAATAGACAACATACTAATAATAATATACACCATATTTAATAAAAGTACATGATTGTGTGTTTAGTGTAATATAATGTATATCATAAAATACATTTAAATATAACGTGACTCTATTTATTTTTCACGTAGGACTCATAAATCTCAGAGACTAATAACAAAAGGAGAACAAGTCGCTGGAGGAGTTATGTGAGTTGGGACATAACAAAACAATCTACATTGATTACAAAACGAGAATTGTATGATAACCTAAAGATACATAGCATAAACATTGATTACGAAATGAAAGTCGCATCCCAACCAAAAAAAACTGCACGTCTAACTCAAAAGATGTTTTGCTTTCACTTCATTTCATCCCCAACCCAAAAATCTAGAGTCAAAAGGATTCTCTAATTAGGCGCCATAATTCACAACCAAAATATATAGCTCAGTTGCCACCTTTCATCTTTCTACCAATAAGAAACCGCCACGTCATCAGCCTCTCAAAGAAAAAGTACACGTGAAGCCACATGTGGAACTGTAATTGGAGGCTACAAATACAAATATCCAGATCCGAGTGCAGAGTATAATTCGGAGACATAGTCATAATTCAGAATTCAGCACCCCCAACTATAACACCCGTTTCATTGATTCCTATTCAAATTTGGGCACCGCTTAAAAGCTCAGAGTTTAGATCTAAAACTAACACACTACGCACTCGACTCACACAGAGCCCGGAAATTAACCTCTTTCTCTCTCTAACAACAATGCCTCCCACTGACGGAGACTTCGATCTTAGGGTAAAACTCCCAGAATCCCTGTTCACGTTTTTCTCCATCTCTGTTTCTCTAACGCACTCTCGTTTCTCTGCAGCAACCTTCTCAATCTGCCTTCACAGTTGGGTTAGTTTAGTACCTCAAAAAACCCTATCCTCTTCAATTTTTCTTCCACTATAATTCATTCGTAGGGTTTTCGTTTTCTCTCGTTTGTTTCAGAGAGTACACGTTCGCCGATGTGGAGAATTTGGAGCATTGTGCTAAGTATCTCAACCAATCGCTCGTCACGTTCGGATTCCCTGCTTCGCTCGATCTCTTCGCAAATGACCCCGTGAGAATTTAACTGATTTTCTCTTAACACCGTTTTCTGCGCCAATGTCTGTTTGAATGTTACGTGAATGGTGTTGTTTTGGAAAATGTGGTAGGTTTCCATTGCGCGGACGTGCAATTGCATTTACTTCCTGCTCCAACAGAGACAGCGCGATGTTGAATTTAGAGAGTCGGCTAATGATCAAAGACAACGGTAGTTCCTAAATATGAACCTTTGCTCTGTGTTTTCGTCGCTATGCATTATCTGTATGTGTTCAATGTGTTTTACTTTCGATGTTGTTGTAGACTGTTGTCTGACATTTCAAGATTGGAGGCCAAAGTAGAGCGGCTTGAAGGTCAACTACAAGTCAAAGACAGAGAGATAGCAACTATTACTAGAACGGTAAGGAGATGTTTGGATTTCTGGTTTGGCAAACAAAAAAGCATATTAATTTCTTGCTTAATGAAAAGATCAGAAGCGTTTCTCTATCATGCAAGCGGACAGCGATTTCCTTTTTGATCCCCTGATGCTACTAGATATTTATTTATTTATTATATATATATATATATATATTAATTTTAATTGCGGTTAAAATCCTTTGGAATAGGAAGCTAAAAACACGGCAGCTCTGAAGGCTCAAATTGAGAAGCTGCAACAGGAGAGGGATGAGTTTCAGAGAATGGTTATTGGTAATCAGGTTAGAATTTTGATATACTTTGCTTATTCTGTGGCGTCTTGTTTGGATGACCCTACTTCGAAATGGATAAGCCTCTGACTATTGAATGGTTTTAAAGCAAGTAAAAACTCAACAACTGCACGAGATGAAGAAGAAGGAAAAGGAATATATAAAATTGCAGGTGAGATATCTTCTATTTTTTTAGTCCGATGAGAACTGAATTTTGGTGATTGGTTCTCTTGCGTCATAGCCTCGTAGGAACTTTATCGATGCTTTATTGCGTGACCCACAATTTATTAGATTTGGAAATGACGAAGGGCTGGTACTTTGTATTTGCAGGAGAGGCTAAACCAAGTTTTAATGGAGAAGAAGAAAGAGTCTAGGTCAGGCATGGAGATAATGAATTTACTTCAGGTACTTGCTATCCATGTAGTTTGGACTTTGCTTGGAAGATATTCATTTTCATGATAGTTTGGTATTTATAATGTGTGTAAACAGAAAGAAGGGAGGCAACGTGGAACATGGAATGGGAAGAAAGCTGACAATGATTTTTACAAAAAGATTGTATGCTGAATAATAAGCTTTCATCTTGTTATTGTAGTTCTTTCCGTTTTGGAAGCATCCTTATCTCATACACTTTAATTTAATATTGAAAGGTGGATGCTTATGAGGCCAAAAATCAAGAACTGATGGCAGAGAATACTGATTTAAGAGCATTGTTGAGATCAATGCAGGTAGGTTCTGGATTTGTAATTACTTTTATTGCTAAAATTTCTACTTGCAGATAAATTTATGAATGCAGTGTGTTTCTTTTGCTCACATTTCACTGATTCTCCTTTATGTAATTTTGTATCTTTCTTCAAGTTTGCTTTGTTATCATTCAGTCACTATATGCTGCTGTCTTTTTAATTTTTCATCTTGGCTTCAATTTATTAAAGAGGTCTGTTTCCATGATATTCCCTTTCTTCCATGCCAAGATCTACGTGTGAATGTGTGCGTATACACACCTGTGCTGTACATGAGTGGGTTTGCAAGTTTCATTTCATTATCTTTTTCATTATTAAAAGTTTTATGTTTCTGGGTTGGAGACAAAGTCAACAAAATTTGATGTATTTTGGGAATCAATTATTTTGTCATGCAAACTGCAAAATGATGGATGGCCATGCTAACTAAAAGGGAAATGAAAAAACTTTAACATGGTAGTCTATTTGTGGTATTGGTGGCTTTCAGCATTTTTTTATTTTATCCAATATTCTAATTTATATCACCTTAGGTCTTTACTTCCCTCTATACGGAGGCCTTTATTCTGTGATGCCGCTCCCTCTAAAGCAGGTTCCTTGACCTAGATTATGAGATTTGTGAGTATACTGGTTACAGGTGGATATGCGCGATTTCTTAAATGCACCTAATGGACTACCAAAACAATCTCTCACTGGCAATGAAAGAGTGGAAAGTGATCCTTCACAATCACCATTGGTTGGGAAAATGGTATGGAAGTTTATTAATTTTTCCTACCCTGTTCCCCTTTCAAACTGCCTTTTGAAACTGTTAATTAGTTTGTTACTTGCAGGACGTATTTGACCTTCCTTTTCATATGGCCAGAGATCAAATAGAAGAAAGTCTTCGTAACAAAATGGCTTCTATAAAGGTACTTTCCAGTTTTTATCTTCAAGTATTTACATAAATGAGTTTTTTGTCTTTGGTTGTTAAGTGCTTGAAAATTGAAATATGAAGGAGCGCATGGTTCAATTGCAAGATGCTCAAAAGGGAGCAGAAGTTACTTCAGAGGCTACTGAGAGGGAACTTGAGCTTGAAGCTCAGCTTGTTGAAGCCAGAAGCATCATACAGGAACAGGTAATGTTTTGTTTTCTTTCAGGTCAGGTCCAAGGCATTTAGAGCCTATTTGATACATCGATTGATATGTTAACTCAACAAAAGCTGCTTTTTAGTTAGAGAAGCGCTTGATTTTTTTATGTTTCATAGTGTGTGGCCAAAATACAAAATGATCTTTAAAAGAAGCAAGAATGAGTGCTTCTTTTGGGAAGCAAAAGCAAAATTTTATAGCAGGTAAAGCTTGTACTTAGCCAGAAAATGGAGGGAAAATAGAAAAAATATGGCAATAATGTTGTTTTGAGTCTTTCTGTCTGTCTATACTAGGTTAACTGAAATTTGTTGGTACTCTAAATTTTCAGTCGTTATATGACTAAATGTTGCAGTGTTGCTTCTTTGTCTTTCTGTCCAGCAAGTCTATAACTGGTACTATCACCATATGACTATTAATCCACTTTTAAATCCACTTTTGGTTCCCATAGTTTTGTGAAGGTGCAATTTTGGTCCCTATAAAAATTTAATTGCACATTGGGTTCTCTTATCTTTCAAAATTAAACAATTTTTGGTCTACTGCTAATACATTATTCAATTTCTAACAAAAATTGTTGGTGTATTCGGCATTAATAGTAGTTTTAGTTACTTATTCACGCAGGATATTAATTTCAGTGTATAATAATAAGCTCTAATATCTTTTATCACTGAAAACACATTGGTATTTTTGTTAGCATTAGATGATATAATAATGTTGGATCAAAATTGTGTAATTTTGGAAAACTAACACACCAAAAGTGCTATTAACTTTTTGACCAAATTTTCACATTGACGAAACTATGGAGATTGAAATTGGATTTAGGCCTAATTTAAATCTATGGGGCTGCTATTCTTCATAAACTGAAATTTGAAAAGCCTGTGGATCAATATATATGTGGACTCTTTTTTTAATTTTTCTTTCTTCTAATGAGTATCTCAATTCAAACATTTCTCTCTTTCTATAAATCCAAGGAGTTTTTCTTTTAATCATGCCTTTCAATATAATTGCCTTACAGTATTTTTTCTAGCATTGATTTGTGTTAATTTGACAATGCATTTCAATTTAATTGAATAATGTGTTGTATTGCAGGCATCAATAATGTCGAAACATCTTGCAAAATCTGATAGGCCAAGGTACTTTGTATTTTTTTATTGGTTGGTTAACTACCATCTAATTATGAATAGATGCAGTAAGTTTAAATGCTTTTTCAACCTTTACAGGGAATCTATCATCCCAGCACCGGCAGAGGTATGTATTTATGTATATATCTGTTATGGCCAAGTATTTGTTCTCAACTTAGCAATCAACTCCATTTCATATAATTAAGATTCTGAAGTTTTTTCTAGTGTGATTGGATTTGTGGTGGTTGGTTGGTAAGTAGCTTTGGAGAATTATTTGTAGTGAGGTATACATTATTTTGTAAAGTGATATGACCTGAAACAATCTTCAGGAACTTCTCATTGCATGGATATCCAATCTATGAGTTTCTGTTTCTTGGGACATAGCATGCCATTTTGTATATCCTTTGTCTTTTGATTTTGTGCATGCCACCGGAAAGTTAGGAATTTTTCATTGGGTACAATCTTGACTAAAGTTTCCTTTCTTTAGTATGTTTATTATAGTCAGAAATAATCAATTCTGTCTGTTTAAGATTGCAACATACCAAGATAGAACATTTGTCAATAGCTTGTAGGTTCATGCAATTTAGTCGACATGGTAGGACCAGATTAAATTTCCTAGTGTTTCTCTATTTTTAGGTTGAGTTGATTACTGCTCTTTTTGTCTCTCTGGTGATGAACTTCACAATGCTGAAAATATCTTCAACATGTAGTCAGTCTAAAGGCCACTGGTTTCCGTGTTGTGGAAGTAACTCATTGACCTTTGGAGACAGCTGGTTTTGAAGAAAAGACTGATAAGTTACCTGAAATTCTGAAGCTAAATTGTTAGTACTGAGAAATATAGAAATATGAAGGATAGTAAAAAAGGATTTCCATCGTACTTACTACTCTATTGGGTGCATAAGGGATCAACTTATTCGTGTTGTCATGGTCTGTGTGCCTTTGTTGGTTGTAGCGAGTGTTAGTGTAGAAAGGGAGTGTGATGATGACATTTATCGTTAACCATTTGTGTGGCCTCTGTTGCTGATTCTTTTATTTCTTAGTCTAATTCTCTTAGCTTGAAATGTTTATTAACATATGAAATGAGGTAACATTATCGTAGTCATGGTGTCGCTTTCAGCTGTAGATATATTGTTACTTCTCCATCTGTCACATTAATGGTGCCAGCGTTGTGATACTGTTCTTTCTTGATTTACAGGCAGTATGTAATTAACAAAACTGAGGATACTCACATTTACAGGCACGGACATCATGCTTTTAGACTATTTAACTTATATTGCTTGTCCATCCTGCATTGCCCTAGTTCATGTTAACAGGCAGAGTATGGTCGAATGTCTTTGTAATTATTAGAATGATGTTGTAATTAGCGTTATTGTACCCTTGAAACTGGTAGAAGAAAATAGATTTTATTGATGTCACAAGGACCACTTAAACTAAGACTGACAGCTAGAAAGATTTTATGATACCACTTTTGTCTCTTCCATATTTCATTTTCTCATTTATTAGGTGGAAATACACAGTTGACGTAGATTTATTGAAGAAATTGATGTGGTAGTTTTCAAAAATGAATGCAGAGGGATTAGTTGGGGCCTAGTGTTCCACAAAGCCACAAGTCATTACAAAATATTTCCATTTTAGGATCTTTAGTGAACGCCCCAAATCACTAAAAGCTATTTAAATGCGGAGTAATTTGTCAATACTTGGTTTGCGAAACTGATTTACATTTGAAGTGTTAATATTTTTCAGTGGTATATTTAGCAAATAGCAATACAACGGAATAAGTAAATGTGAGTTTTGATTTAATTTTTTATAATGATCAAATCGATACACTATATTTACATATTTCTTACTTGATCTTATTTATGACATGCTTTTTGCAGGTGATACATATACACACACACACACACACACACATATATATATATATATATATATATATATATATATATATATATATATATATATATATATATATATCATAGCATGTTTTAGCGAATGCTACACAATGTTAATTGGAACAATATAAGAGTGACTAGTACTTTAAATTTGAGCCATGGAGATACAGTTTGGAAGGGTTTTTGTCTAAGGAGTAAATTTATAATACATACGACAGGTTAGTTAATTTAGCAAGTGTAAAAAAGGAATATAGTTTAAATAAAAATATGAGAGATGTCATACTACACGTTTCTCTATGTTAAGTGCTATATCAATGCATAATATAACATAATGTGGAAATGAATGAGATTGTAATACATAAGTTGAATAATGACTCAGATCAAGAAAAATTTAGAGAACTGTTGGTGATCACAAAGTACATAAGTCATGGGGAGTTTTAATTTAGTGTTTTATTTTGTTATATTATGTTCAGTTATTTTCAAAGGGACAACAAGAGAAAAAAAATTGACTAGTATAAATGAGATAAGACGGATGTGACCATAAAATGTGAATTAATTGAATGTAAAGAAACTTTGGTATAGTATCAATTGAAGAAGAAATGACAATTTAGGTTAAGGTGATTTGAATGCATAGAAAGATCTCATCTGAAATAGTTTTCAAGAGATGGTCTTTAACCAACTTGCATTACCTGGGGTGATGTATGTAACTGACCTTACGGAATAAGATTTCAATTGTTATTTTGAATGTGTTTTTTTTTTTCTAATGGATTTCGTTGAACGACTATGCAATTTATAAATAGTTTTTGTATATTTTTGTGCAGGAATTATTTACCCTTTTTTCCTTCGTAAATATGAGTTCATTAATTGTAAAGGCTTCCTATGTCATTAGACTTGTTTGAACAGACAGGGTTGGCAAGCAATGTTTCCGGCAAGTAGGCCCAAAAGGCCTCAAAAGCGTCATATCCTAGAACATGGACTGCCATGAAAAACACTAACTCCAACAAGTTACTTGTTTTTGAAGAGTCATGATGAGTCTGATAGGTTGCGGGTTATAGTTACAACTAACTGGGCCTACTACTGCTTACCAACACACAATATCGATCATGGATGTGAAAGCTTTTCCTTTAATGATCCAGGGGAGGGGAATGTGAAAAAGTTTGGTGCCCCCATCTTATGAATCTGTACTGGTTCACAAAATATGGACTCAAGGAATGTTTCCCCAACACTTGTTTGGAATGTGTTTACTCTTATGGGAAAAAAAATGTTTGCCCTACCACAAGGTAAAAAGTATATAAAGGAAACAAGTTGAAACTCCCAACAACATTTTGTTATTGAAACATCAAGTTAAAAATATCACTAAACCAAATATAGTAACTACAAACAAATAAAACCTAAACAACGATAAACTATTTGAACCTATAATTTGTATAACCATATCTATTTCTATTGAAGTTAGTATCTATGAATTCACGGACAAAATTCCACCAAAAATTTATCTAACAAGTAAGCTTTATTGGCAAGAATGATTGTTGAAGTCTAGCCCTCCATGTACATCTAATGTACAAATTAACACTTAGTCTGAGTACTTGAAAGATATATATCACCATCACAATAAAATTGCCCTGTAGCTGGTGGTTGTAATAGCTCCATTAACTTAGCAAAATAGGATATTAACACCTAAGTTAAGAGAGAATGTCTGATTTTAAGTTGTTTCCTAATTAAAAATTCAACAATGAAAGAAATCATGGAGGAATTAATGACATTTCCAACGACCTTCCCCATTATAAAGAAGACACCATTCTATCTAAATCTTGAATCTCTTCAAAATTAACAAAAAATTGTACAACTCCAGTTTTTTATAATTAAGATTGTTGTTAAAAGCACATTTTACTACAAATAAAAAGTATATACTTTGTTTTAAGAATTTTATTAAATTGTAAAATCAAATGTTTTCAAATTAATTTAGTTAATTTTCGCCTAAATATGTACTTTGTGCTACCATTCATATTGATTATTTCTAAATGGTGACGCTATATTCAAATATTTTGTGGACAACTTAACTATAAATAATGGGTGAAAACGAGCAGTCACAAAACAGTAAAATTATGCTTCATGACCGGTTTCAGAAATAAGTCATTACATATGAAGAGTTAAAACTATATACAGTAAACTTTTCTCGTATCTTTGCATAGAGTTATAACTTTATTAAATCCATTTTCTCCTATTTCATTCAAAACAATCAATTTTGAATTTTATTTCCATCAATTTCTTACTTATTTCTCTCTCCTAAATAATTCAAAAATTAATTTTATTTCTTGTAAATTTTTCTTTTATTTTCATTTGGTCGGTTTCTTTTTCTTGCAATTACCTGAGTAAATTTACCATCCTTCAAATTTAGCATCATATATGTGTAAATGTTGTTGGAAAAAATATAATTGAGAAGAGACACCTACTAAGGTGATTAGTTAAATTCTCCATCAAAATTAATATTAAATAAAACCAGATACTTCCTACCAAGAAAAGCTGTGACTTATACGTGCATGAATCAAAGTGAAATTCGAGAGGCAGTTATTTTTCCTATTTTCTTAACCGGAGTAAGAGAATTTTTTACAAGATCGTCATGAAGTAAAGAATAACAACTGTTACACATTAGTTGAAATTTCATATATCTAATTCATTCCAGCAGTTGAAACATTAGACTTTGCAGAGGGGCTCTGATCAGATAAATTATTATTAGATGATGAAATTTTTACAAATGAAAAATAATGTGAGAGTGTGCGAGCGAATATACCATTCTAATGTGAACGTAAAAGCAGAACTAACTGCATATACATAGAGTTATACATTTCAATCACGCCTTGCAATAGAAACGAAAACTCTGCTAACATGCATGGGGAAGCAACCAAAGGTCAAAGGCCTTCCATACACTTCTCTCATAGTAGTAGTAGAAGGACTCTTCATGAATGACATAGACGACCAAGAAGAGAAACTTGAACCGCGAGAGGATGCCACAGACTCAGAATCGGAGCTGCAATCTAATCTTGCTAACATGTCCAAACCAATAACATCTTCTTCATGGAAACAATCTTGGGATGACTTTCTGTTTTTTCCACGCTTCACCCTTTTCTTCCAAAACCTTAGTCTTGACCGTGTTGAAGGTTTGGGGTCTGGAATGCATGGCTTTGGTAGCCCCAGGCTGAGAAGTGCTGGTGGGGGACTCAGTGGAGGAAGGTCATCTTTTGGTTGCTCCTTTGCAATCCCTGGTTGCATTTCCCATTTGAATGGAACCCCTTCCCCACTCCTGTAGTAAGAGTTGCGAGAGGAGCACCCCAGAGAGGATCTCCTTGAAAGAATTTTGCCCAATGACATCTTCTGATACTCAAAATCCATCATAGCTTTTCCAATAAAGAATGTTAGACAAAGGTGTGTTTATATAGGATGGACAATGAAGTGTTCGGTATGCAATTAGTTTAAATACATATATACCGTTTTGACCATTAGAGAGTCATAAATCACTACTCATAGTTAATATTTTGTTAATTACATTGATTGGTCATAGCTTGTTACTTCTAGTTTGAGTGACTCAAAGTCCTTTTTGTATTGACAAGGAAGCAAATGGTGAAGCAAGATGGATACGTACTTAAAGTCGTTGTTTCTAAGGTTGCCATATGTACAAACCAATTATTATTGTAAGTTGGCCGGCTTCTGTTGCACGTGCCGTGACCAAACCCGTAGGACTTAGTCACCATCTTGGCTTAGCAGACAACATCCTTCGCAGCATTATTTTAATGTTTTTATATGAATTTATTAGGGTTTGTGATCGTTGTGATGACCATATTGGTGGCCTTGTGATATATGTGAGGCACATGTTATAGGGTTACAGGTGAAAGTAAGGCAAGGCTTTTTCTGCTTGAATTAAGTAACGATATATTATTATGTGACAACTAAGGGCCATCTACTTATCTTCACAGGTTTGATTGGAACATCCATAACTTTCCTCAATTGCTAAGAAAGCAAAGTCCATTACTTGGAAATTACCTAAGGTTTCATTCATTGAATTTGAACCAATGCAATAATGCTACTAGCTAGCTACTATTTCATAATTGTGAGAATGAAGGGGACTTTTGACAATTCGTTATTTTTAATTGTCTGCCATATACTTAGAGTTTTTAATTATAACTTAATGAGTATGATATGGAACTGTTAACCTAACTGTGGAACTTCATTTGCCCAAGTGCTTCAAATATTTTTCTATGCATGACTTAAGAAACAAGGCCACTTTTTGTTCACAACGACTTCAACAAAACTGCATTGATTACGAGTTAACTTGTAGTTTATATTGTTAGTTTAAACTGTAATTGAATATGATCTTCATCTTAATGATCAAACATATATCTATAATACATGTTATAAACTAAATGCGAAAGCGTACCTGAATTGGCCATAATGACAATATCCTTTGTAGAGCACTTTTGATTTGATCTTATGGTCTTCCACCTGAAGAGCACCTGTATTTCCCTATGGATTTTCTCTCTTGATGGGGATAGAGAGAAAGGAACGGGACTGTAACTACGTTCTGTCTGTGTGCTCTCAGAAGGGGACCATGACCCTTTATATAACCAAAATTAGGTTAATTACTTAAGTTTTAGTATTTTCAATTTGGCCCCTCATCAAATTAGAAATTACTCTATGGTCTCTACACAATCATATTTTCATGACATATGCCTTTAGCCAAAACTTTAATTTATTCAGATCACTTTATTATTTGGCTTAATAAATAATGACCCTAACACATTTAAATATGTATCATATATATACATGACCCAAAATTTGCCAACAATCTCCCATTGGTCACAAATATATATGTCTTTACAACCTTACAAATGTGTTAGACTTTATGAGCTCAAAATTGTCATTATATTCCTTTAGCATATTCCAAAAGTCCTGTCCATTAATCATATCAGGATATAGAACCAAACCAGCTTTTCATTGCATCATCGCAACTAAAACCAACAAGATTACTCATCCTGACATAACCAAATGACATGGATTCATCATGAAATGTGTAGCATGAAAAATTACGTGAAGGTGATCTGTACACGTCTATTTTCAACTGGTCCAAACTTTAACTTATCGAGATCGATACAATAACCTTAATGTACAAAGTGTAATGAATGAACAAGAAAACCGCATATCTATAGATAATCAAATATGTCCAAAAAACAATGTATACATATATAAAATTAAACATAGAACATAAAATATATGAAAATGACTAACTCCCACTAAACCACAAATTCCTCAAACTGTAGAACACCCATGTGAGCAACATGCTCATGAAAGACCTTGGGCGGAAGTCCTTTAGTTAGAGGATATGCTATCATGGAGTTTGTCCTTAAGTGTTCTATGGAAATCTGTCCACTTTGTACTCTTTCCTTAACAATACAGCTGATTTATTGTCACAATATAACTAAAGTGGTCTTTCAATGCCTTTCACAATTTGCAGCCCTGTGACAAAATTTCTCAGCCATATTCCATGATTTGATGCCCCATAGCATGCTACAAATTATTGACATCCTGCAAAATCTGAGTCAGAAAACCCAGCGATCTCCAACTGGTCTGACCTCCTGTATGTGAGCATATAATCTTTTGTTCTTTTTAAATATCTTATGACCCCTTTTGCTGCTTTCCAATGGTCTATTCCTGAATTGCTTAAATATCTGCCTAGAACCCCAACTATGTATGTTATGTCTGGACGCGTACATATTTGGGAATACATCAAACTCCCGATAGCTAATGCATGGGGAATCTGTTGCATTTCCTCAATTTCCAAATTCCTCTTTGAGCACTAATTTAGACTAAACTTGTCTCCCTTAGTAACTGGAGTATCACCGGCTCATGACGCACAGGTTCTTGAGGATCTTGAGTTTGTTCTTCATGAACAACCAAATCATCTTGAGTAAGGGGTTCATTAACAATGTTTTGTGGAGGTTCCGAACTTACTTTATCAAAAGTAACTGTTTGAATCGGTTCTGGAATTGTTACCGATTCTTCCTCCAAGACAAAGTTCCTGATTTTATTCTTCCCCCCAAACTCAATATCCTCAAAGAACGTAGCAGTTCCCGTCTCAAAAATTGTCTTTAATGTGGGATCATAAAATTTATATCCCCTGGATCTTTCAGCATAACCAATAAAATAACTACTTACTATTCGGGAGTCCAATTTCTTTTCATTTGGCTTATAAGGCCTTGCCTCAGCTGGACAACCCCACACATGAAAATGCTTCAGACTAGGTTGTCGCCCAGTCCAAAGCTCATAAGGTGTTTTGGTCGCTGCTTTAGTTGGTACTCTGTTCAGAATATAAGCTGTCGTCTTTAGTGCCTCTCCCGGAGTGACTCGGTAAGGTGGAATGACAAATCATACTCCCGACCATATCTTTAAGAGTTCGATTTCGTCTTTCAGCTACACCATTCATGCTAGGTGATCCCGGCATGGTATACCGTGGGACAATTCCACACTCCTCTAGGTACCTGGCAAAAGGTCCTGGACGCCGTTCACCTGACCGTCAAATCCGCCATAGTACTCACCACCACGATCGGATCTGACGGACTTAATTCTATTATTGAGTTGATTTTCAACTTTAGCTTTAAATGTTTTGAACACGTCTAGAGATTGTGACTTTTCATGTATAAGGAATAAGTATGCATATCGTGAGTAATCGTCTATGAATGATATAAAGTATTGTTGACCATTCCACGAAGGTGTAGGAAATGGCCCACAAATGTCCGTATGTATCAACTCTAAGACGTCTGTAGCTCTATATGCACCTAATCTCTTCGCTTTGGTCTGTTTGCCCTTAATGCATTCAACACAAACATCAAAGTTTGTGAAGTCAATGGACTCTAAGATTCTATTTAACACAAGTCGTTCAACTCTATTTTTAGAGATGTGACCTAAGCGCCTGTGCCATAATGCTCCTGAGTGAGTATCATCAATTTTACGTTTAGTACCCCGTGATTCTGTATTAAGGGTTTCATTATAGATGGTCAAAGTATCAAGTAAATATATATTATCATAAGGCAAAAGTGAACCAGTTCTAACAATATCTGAATTAAAAGACAAACTGAACTTATTGTTTCCAAATGAACACAAATAACCTAATTTGTCCAGATAAGAAACTAAAACCAAATTCCGTCTAAATGACGGCACAACAAAAGTGTCTTTCAAATCCAAATAAAAACCAGTACTTAATAACAATTTAAAATGTCATATAGCTTCCACTTCTACCGATTTTCCATCTCCAACATATATCCATCTTTCAGAATCAATTGGCTTCCGGTAGCTTAAGCAACCCTTTATAGAAACACTGATGTTAGTTGTTGCACCTGAGTCTAACCACCAAGTGTTACTGGGTACTGACGCTAAATTGACTTCAGAACAAACCAAAATAGGAAACATACTTTTGAGGATCGGAACAAAATTTAAATTGGCGAATACTGAAAACAATTGTAGTTGAATTTAGAACAAGAGAAATAAATTAATTATGCTCACATTATAACATAAATAATTATAAATATATATTCAAATAATGGTTTAACCCATCTCAAGACACTCAATGCACTATCAATATCAAGTCTTTGGACAAGTAATATTAATTGCTAGAGGTATCTTGTTGTAATAATCAAACATTGACAATAAAGTACGTCCAACAACAAACCAGTCTTTGGATTGCTTTATCATCGACAAAGCAAATCCTTATAATTATCACATGTTTATCATTACAAGTGTGTATGCAATTCGGCCAAATATTAATCTTCCTTTGGGCCCACTAATACTCGTATGAATATACACAAACACTAACATTCTATATTTTTCATGAACTGCCCAATTCAAGAGAAGTTACTTTGGTGACTTCTTGACTCAATTTGCTCACAAAAAATATTAAACTACCAAAAAATTGAATATATTAATTATATAGCAAAACCGAATATTTATAATTCTAAAGAAGGAAAAATTTATAATTTCTGTATATGCACTTTTATTTGGATTGTTTTGGAATTTGTCAATTTAAATATATATGAAGGAGCTGCATCTTAACTTTGCCATCACCGCATGAGCAGTCGAACACCAATCCTTATCCCACGCACATCCTAAGGTCAATTCCAACACTCGAAACCATGGAGTTCCAAGTAACGACATCTTTAACAGGCATTGCATCAAACACGTTGCAGGCCTCATAAAGCTGACCTCTTTTTAGCAACCTTTTTAAGTAAATGTTCCAGGATGTGGGGTTCTTATGTGAAATATCGTCAAACACCTTTAGTGCATCATCAGTGTGACCTAGCTTTTTATTTATTATTGTTAATTATGGCCACATTGGACTGGTGGGGTCC